TCGTTTTTTTTTTCTGGAAAAAGCAGTTGGCCAGTGTAGACAGCTGGCAGCTTATTCCGGAAAAGCGGCTGCTTTTCCAGAATAAGTGGCCCAGTGGAGACACAGCCTTCATGTTTCCCAGCCAGCAACTGCCCCACTCCCAGGCCCTCCGCACAGCGGCGTAGGTGGCAGGATCCTCAGGGCTCCTCCGTCTCTGTCTTCAGTCCTGCGTCCTGCTCCAGAAGCCCCTTGGCTACGGACAGAGGCCAGGCAGGATGTCTGGACCCACCCTGACCCCGGACGTGCTCCAGAGTCTTTTGATCTGCCAGTTTGTTCCATCTCTGCTGAGCGCCTGCACCAGGAGTTTCCTGATTGGTGTATGTGATTTGGTTTCCTTTAACAATTTTACTCTCAGCTTTTCCTTTCTTTCTTTTAGTCAGAAACCTTTCGATGGGAGCTGCTAAAGGACGCCCAGCGAGCTCTTTTGGGTGAGATCCGATGTATGAAGTGACCCGGGCCTGCGGCTGGGCCCTTGGGACGGGAGAACCACAGGCTCGAATTGTGAGTCAGTACTGAAAGAATTGCAAAGAGGTGTGACCCACTGAGGAATTGGTCTTGCGGGGTCAAAAGGGGGACTAATGTAGCAGAAACGTATTTGTTAGTGTTGGTGATTAGACTGTAAGTATGAGGCATGATTTGATGTCTAATGACTTGCTCCTAAGTTCTGTCTGCTCCTCTTTCTCCCTGTCTCTCATCATTAGACAATATTTCCTGGAAGGCTTCGCTGCCTGTTAGCTTTACAAATGAAGTTGCACCCCTTGTCTGGAGCACAACCTCGGGGGAGGGCTAGCTTGGCGTTTTGAGCATTGGCCTGCTAAACCCGGGTTGTGAGTTCAATCCTTGAGGAGGCCAGTTAGGGATCTGGAGCAAAATTTGTCAGGGTCTGTCTACACTGCCACCCGAGTTCGAACTAGGGGGCTAATGTAGGCATTCCAAGTTGCAAATGAAGCCTGGGATTTAAATATCCCGGGCTTCATTTGCATCTTGCCGGGTGCCGCCATTTTTAAATCCCCCTTAGTGCGGACACCGTGCCCGCGGCTACACGGGGCATGGAATAGGTAGTTCCAATTAGGCTCTCTACCGTTACTCCTCGTGGAACCGTCAGTGCTGCTGTAGCGCTCGATGGGGCGGCCACGCCTGGGACAGGGACTGTCACGTCCTGAAGGCACCAGAAGGCAAGTCTTGCTTAACATGCCGTTAGACGGCGGAACTCACTGCCACAGGGTAGCGTGAGGTCAGCTGCCTCGCGGGGTTCAGCGGATGAGTGGACATTTCCAGGGAGAGCGCGAACATGCCGGGATCCGACCGTGCGGATAACCCTGTCCCGGAGCCCCGCCCCGTCAGCCCTCCTGCTTCAGGGCATGGGCTGGTGCTGACCACGGGGGTCAGGCAGCATCTTCCCCAAAGCTGGTTGTGGCCTCGCCGCCAGTGCTGGGATTCTTGCCCCATCCCACAAGGCGGCTGGTCCTGGCCCTGCCGGGGACTGGAGACGGGCTGCACCGCCCCGGTGATCCCCACTGAACCCCAGGCTGGAGGGGAGGCAGCTGCCCTCCGGCCCGGGGAGGCGGCCGTGATGGTGGCCGGGGGTGGGGGAAGGATTCAGCTTCGGGCAGAGACCCGGGCTCCTCACCCGGTGGCTCTGCCTTGGAGCTCACCCTGACAAAGGCTTCTCCATGGTCCCAGCTTGGCTGGGGGCAGCTTGGCTGCCGGCCAGGCCCCGAGTCTCTGTTTGCTCTGGGTGCGGGTCCACGTTTGCCAGCTGGGCTGATTTGCATCTTCAGCATCCTCCCCTTCCTCCCCCGCCCTCCATGTAGGGCAATAAATACCCTGGAGAGCCAGCGCCCTGCACAGGCTGGATCCGACCCTCAGCGCTCCCCGCCAGCTGCCCAGACGGACGGACGGACAGGTGAGTCCCTGCCCCTCCCGGCCCTTCTCCTCCGTGCTGGGTGCTGGGCAGTGGGAGATACCTGAGCCCTGGGCCGGAGCTGCCCTGTGTGTCACTGGGGCTGTCTCAGCCCCTCCCTCCCCACAGCGCGGCCCCGGCACCCTGCTGAGCACCCCCCACCCGCTCTGCTCCCAGGCCCCTGCCCTGCTCTGTGCTGGGAGAGTGGGGGAGGGGACGGTGCTGCCAGGCTCTTGGAGACCAGTCCAGGGAGCTCCCCTGCCCATGGGGGACTCTGAGCCTGCCCCTCGGAGTGGGAGATGGATCCCCAGGGCCCTTCCCCCTCAGCCAGGCCCCTCAGCAAACATCCCCAGCTCTGAAATGCTCCCCCATGAACTGCCCCATGGGAGGGGGGAGGGTGGCCCTGGGGGTGTCTCGGGCTCTCCTGGCCCATCTCCCTTGTGTGTTTGCTCCCCAGGGGCAGCGAGAAGATGGGGCCAGTCGCCTTCGTCACCCTCTGCCTCCTCGGCTGCCTGGTCTGCAGCCCCGCGCTGGCAGGTGAGTCCCGGCCCGGCCCCTCGAGCCGGAGCCCCCGGGGGCGGGTCGCCGTGGTAGGAGCTGGGACGTGGCTATGAGAGCTAGGGTGCCAGTGTAGATATACCCTAATTTACTCCTCCTAGCACAAGAACAAAGGTCACCAAAATAATAGGTAGCGAGTTTCAGACAAACAGAAGGGAGTATTTCTTCACACAAGTCTAGAGTCCAGCTCTACCGCATCTACCGCTTCCCCCAGCCACAGGGTCATCGACGGGTTCTGTCCTGCCCCCTGTGTTCCCCCTGTGGGTCCCTCTCAAAGGGCTGGTTAGGGCTCTTCTCCAGCCCTGGCGTCTCCCCATCCGCCCTCTGACGCCAGCAGGGCCGTCCCATTCCCGGCACATTGTGCCTTTGTCCCACAGACTGTCCTCCCCCACTTTTCCCCCCTTGGCTTATGAGACGGTCGTGCGAGACAGGCTCAAAAGCCTCACTGGAGTCCAGCTCTACCGCATCTACCGCTTCCCCCAGCCACAGGGCTCCGTACCCTGCCAACGGAAGCCACCAACGCGCTCTGACAGGGTTTGTTCTGGACAAACCCTGCTGACTGTTCTCTTCTACGCGGGGGCACACTGGTTGCTTACTGTCTTTCTGGGCACTGAGGTGAAGCCGGATTCCCCGGATTGCCGTTATTCCCAGTCTTATAGCTGGGCCCTGTGCTTGCCCTCTTAGAGCTCTGCAAGCTCCCTCCTTTCAAAGATAATTGCTAATGGCTCAGCTGTCACCTCAGCTATCTCCTGGAGAGTTCCCGGATGCATTTCATTAGGCCCTCGTGGCTTGAAGACATCCAGCTCGTGTAAGGATTTGTCCCACTGACAATCGAAAGACAAAATTGTTGTCCAGGTGTTAAAACACACAACCCAAAATACAGAAGCAAGGGCCGGTGTGAACCCGGCTGTCTCGGGGGAAGCGCCCTCCTGCCGACAAAGCTAAAAACGCTCTGTGGGGTGGCAGGGTTTTGTTGGCAGGGGAGCGGCGTCCG